TTTATGAAAATAAAGTTCATTCAAAAATCATATACTTTCTATAAAATTCATCGCATTTCCAAACTTTTTTTATCAGAATTTTTAGAAATTTAATATAAAATGCGACATTTTCCTTTATATGGTTTCAGTTAAAGAATGAACTATATTTTCATAAAAACCATGGGAATATAATCACCCTCATTGCGAGAGTCGTATCAAATGCAAGACGTTTTTCGAGAGTCGAATCGTATCGAAAATTTCACGTCATTGCCTAAAATTTCCACTCGACTAGTGTATTAAAACGGAAAAACTTGACAGCACTGTATAGTTTTCGACGATTTTGGTCGTTTACTTATTTCAGTACGACAATAGACAATGCTACTGTTGCCCAGTCGTACAATTTAGCCTAATTTACGACTTACGCAATGAGGCTGTTTGTTTTTTAGTTAGTAATTTTCGAAGTCCTTAATTGGTGAGTACAGAGTGCTTAAAATCCTGTGGGTGGTGCGGTAGATATACTAGGCTCTTAGCAAGCACATTTATATTTTTATTAGAGCTGATATCAGATCCTCACTGGATATCCAACCGGTCTTAACTAAGAATGTTTTTTTTCTTTAATGAGGTCAATGAGAGGCAGAAGTGCAGTTGCCTTGGCCAAACGCAGATTATTTAGTACATTTCAATTCATCTGCTATAGTCGAATTCGTTTACCTAGGTGATTTTTAAATTTACCAGAGGAGCTAATATTACATATTTTGGGCATTCAGAATTCGAGTTTATTCCAGGGGATGCAATAGAACTTTCAGGTCACACCAAAATAGAAAGTTTATTAGGGGTATTCTTTTAAGCTGGCTTCGAAAATCTTGAAACACTCCAGTTTGAAATTTTGCAGTTTTTTCGTGTTTATGGGAACCTCCCAATATTTGTTCGTTAAAGGGCTTTTTTCTCAAGTAGCTTTTAAGTTTTGTTTGCCCTTTGAACACAAATTTTGTTCTAACAAAATGGGTTTGAAGGCCAGATTTTAAAAGGTACATTAGCAAACGGCCCTAAAATTAATGCTTTTAAAAATCACATACGTATTTTTGTTGTGTTTTGTTTGATTTAATACAGCAAAAAATTAAAAAAAAAACGTGTAAAAATTTAGCAAAGGTTCTTAATATTTTTTTTTGGAAAAAAAAGATTTTCAAAAGAAGAACTGCATATGGATGTATGTTTGTATATACGTAGATATATAATATCTACACTCGTGGCCACGCAAACTCACTATCGTTTTTTTTTTTTTGTTTTTAATTGGGTAGAATTTTGTAAATTAATAAACAAATTTGCATTTATATATATTTATATATAGTTCAAACCGCAACAAAATCTATATGAATATAAGTTTCAAACTTCGTATAAAATTCAAAAAAAATGCATCAAACTTTCATCAAAATTTAAAAAATTTTCATACATTTTTTGAGAAAAATTTCGGATATGCCGTTTAAGAGCCGATTAAATTTTAGTAGTTCTGGTTGATTTGAGACAATTTTTTTATACGGTGTTTCGCATTTTCCCACATAGAAGCATTCGTTACATGGAAAAAACTACACAAGATCGTAGGAAAAATAGAATTTTCAAAAATCACTTAGGAATTTGAGCCCCCTCATCAAACTTGCACATTATTGTACTAAAATTAAATGGGCTATTAAACTGCGTACGTGAAATTTTTTGATGCAAATTTAATAAAATTTTCTAAATTTTGTACAAAGTTCGTAACTTTTATTTATATCGTCTTTGTTGCGGTGTCAACTAGATTAAAAAAAATTAAATTTTTTTTATTAATTTACAAAATTCTACCAAATTTTAAAAGCAAAAAGTGGTGGTAAGGTTTGCGTGATCACAAGTGTACAATATCGTAAAAAAATTTTAAATTTCTACTCACTTATTTGACATTATCACTCGAAGATAACGTAAAAAATATCCGCTACTCGCTTGCATAAAATTTCATGGGGAAATTTATCTCGAAATCCACATAAAAATGCTTCCAAAATGATAGAAGTGTTTTCGATGGAATGTGATGGGTTAAATTTTGATTAAATACTGAAATTTTGCTGAAGTTGATGCGATGTTTGAAGATGGTTTACATATCATGTACATATGTATGTAATTAGAGTTGAGTGAGTTGGCGATGAATAAAATACTGTTTTTGTTGTTGTTGCTAATAGAAACGTAGGATTGTTAGAATCTTTAGAAATCAGATTGCTGAATTACAAATTTGTAAAATCTTTGTAACGATTTTTGTTGTTGCTTTTAATGAAAGTTTAATATTTTTTTGTTTATTTGTTATTATAATTATTTTTATTTAATTTTGTTTGCTGCACATTCACTGCTTCTTAACTCTTGCCTCTTTTTTATTTATTTATTTATTTTTTCTATTTTTATTTTTGCTTTACGACTTAAAAGTCAAGCAATTAGCACCTTTTCCATTTACTTCTCTAATTCGCAAACGCCTTTTAGAAGAATTTGTGTCGCAGTTCACTTTTGAGTTGGTAAAATAGCAAGAAAACGAGTTGTGGCTCTCAATTAACTTAAGACGCGAAAATTAAAAATAAATGTAAATTTTAGACATGTATCATATTTTTAATAAACTTTTTATACCATGTACACACAGTCATCCATGTAGATAGCTATTTAATATGTATGTGTATTTGTATTCACGTTTTGTACATATTCGAATTTTTTTTAGTTAGAATTTGCATTTTTATATAATTAATCTAATTCAAAGTTTATGCAGTTGTCTCTTTAATCACTCAAACACTTTTTTTATTTATTGAGCAAATATTTTTTTTTTTAATTTTTTTCCCTTCCATAAACAATAACTTTTATGCTTAAGCGTTTGAACACGGATCTTTCTTTTTAAGCATTTTCAACTACGAGCACTTTTTCACATGCACTACACACTGCTGTTTTGGCTTCTACTGCTTCTTCATGCATGGCACCCTTGTTCCCGCGTTCGCGCATTCCTTTAGTGTAGTGTAGAATTCCAACTTGAACTCGCTACGTGTTCCGAAAATCAACTTGCGCTTAAGTTCAACGTTAAAAAGTAACTGACTGACTTGCAAGTCAACACGCAAACCGCTGAGTGTTGCATTGGTAAGATCGATGATCGCCACATACATACATTCATACACTCTCCCGGCATACGGGCACTTTCTTAACAAAACACACAACAAAAGCCTGGCTCAGCGATTGCTTGTCGACCAAAAATACCGGCTTCAGCAAGTCTAGTCGCGCGTTGTCAGCTTATTAGCTGCAAAGAAATCGCATACAATTACATAAAAAGACAAACACGTAGATACCAGCACACTTACCTTTTCCAACCCGCTGATCCAACCAAACACCAGCGCTCTCAACGCTTGCGCCAACTCTTTCTCATTAACCATGTGCTGCGGTGTGGTGACTTGCTGTTTTACCTGTGGCTAACTGGTGTTCGATTGCTCCTCATCTATATTTTTTGGTGTTCCAAATGGTTCGATTGCGCTTACCTCGTCAGGGTTCGCACTCGAACATGTTGTTGGGACTCATATACAGCTGTGCTTTGAGTCGAGCTTGGCATCTCCTCACGCCGCTAATAAACTGGTTAGTTGGCTTATACGAAAAGCGGTCGTGTTTAAGTACGCCACACTTTGGATATTCCTGATTCTTAGCTGAGGTTCTTACAGACCGTACGTGCCACACTAATAACCAACGTAGCTCACGGGGTATGAGAAATCGACGACATTGACTTTTTGGTTGGCTAAGAATGAATAAAAAAGATAAAAAAATACGTAACTGAAGTATAAGCATCAGAGAAGAAGCAACAACAATTTGCTTAAGTCTGGCCTAGTCTTTGTTAAAGGCAATGACACGGCTGTGGCTTAGTTGGCGAAACAAATTTGTTGTGGAAGTAAAAAAAAAAACCAACTCATCAATACATTCTATGGATTTAAAAATTGAAGTTCATTACAAACTACATATTTGAAGAGATTAAGTATATTTTTAACCGACTTCAAAAAAAGGAGAAGGTTATCAATTCGTCGGAATATATCGATTTTTTTTATGTATGTGTCCGAGGTGGTCCCCGAGGGGAAGTATCTAGGGGTAACTCTGGACAAAAGGCTCAATTGGAGCACACATCTCTCAAATCTTACCAACAAGGCTACAAGGCGTTTTGTGCCTGCCAGAGAGTTTATGGTTAAACTTGGATAATATTACCAAAACTAACGTATTGGTCTCTCAGTACGGTCGTGAAACCCGTTGTAACATATGTATGTGACACTGGCCTGGTGGCCAAAAGCAAAACAAGTAAGTGCGGGTGCTACCTTAAGCCAGCTACAGCGCTTGGTCTGCTTGGCCATCACAGGAGCTATGTGCACCTATCCAACGGATGCCCTTGGTGTGATTACAGGCATTCCCCTTATGGTGCTGGAGCACCTTACGACAAGCCCTACAGGGTCAGAATTCCTGAAAGCGAGACAAAGAGTCCCAAGTATCGATGGATCGAAAATGGACGACGGGAGTAGTGGGGTAGGCGTACTTGGACCAAGATTCCAGAAAAGTCTATCAATGGGCTCATACCCCACCATATTCTAGGCGTAAGGAAGTCTTCGCAATCAAAGTCTGTGTTCGAGAATGTCTTCGGAGAAGGACGAACGGGACCAGAATAAATATTTTGTCGGATAGTCAGGAAGCACTAAAGGTTTTAACTCATTTAGAATGACATCAGGGCTTGTGGCCAGTTGTAAAACTCTTCTGAATAGCCTAGGTGCCCAAAATAGATTGACGCTGTAGTGGGTCCCTGGGCATGATGGGTTTGAAGGCAACGAAAGGGCTGACTGTCTTGCAAAACTTGGAGCACAAATGAAGGCCTTTTTAAGGCACGAGCTGATTAGGAGTTGGGATGAATGAGATTACTGCCCACTGGCAGAAATAAATTCATAACCCCTTCCAGGGGGAACTCGTGGAATACTTAGCCGGGAGGGTCTTAGGACTCTTGCAGGCAATGTGACAGGATGCTGCAAGTTAAGGTACCATTCGAACAAAATGGGGCTTTCTGTAGAGACGGCCTGCAGGTTTTTTTTGGGGTGGTGGAAGAAACCTCAGGGCATATTCTTTGTGACTGCCCAAGTAGACGGATACACCTTGGGGAACGATTATCTTCTAGAAGAGCGGGAAGTTTGAGCACATTCAATAGAAAAATCCTGAGAAACCTGCATAGTTTATACGCCGCAAGCTGTCTCGACAAATATCTTAAGAGTAGACAACCACGAATTAAAGAACTGATGCAGTGGCGGGAATATATATACTCCGAAAAATATATTCCGGCATCGAGACACTTTATTAGCAATTGACTGACGAACAAATAACAAAAGCGATGTCTTAGCTCATGTCTGGGTTCCCCGTATAGGAACTTTGAAGGCAAGGAGAGAGCTGATGAATCGACGAAGTTAGGAGTCCGTTTTTAAAAATCTCAATTAGTGGTTCTAGGATGCGGTCATAGATTAATCCAAGAGCAAGTTGATCTATATGAAACAGGTTGTCAGATATACAGGCTAGAATAATACAAATCAAAGGTAGACGGACAGACCCTAAGCAAACATGCACCTAAACCGGACTTCCCTTGCGATTTTTAGGTATAGAACTCTAAGCAGGTAGTTAGTAAAACAGCCAGATCTATCAGAAGCTACTATAAGCGATGTCGGCTGTTTTATTGGGAAATCAAGATAGTTTTACCAAGGAATCTAGGACTTACATAGATGAAAACTCATTTCCCATAAGCAGTGCATTCATATGGCGCCGAAATGCGGTAATTGTATCATAGGTAGTTATAAGGAAATACGACACCTACGGGTGGACAAAGAAATTATAAGGACGTTCGCCTATACAATCGTAGGACCCAGAGCTGAGGGACCGAAACCACCGTCTATCTAGAATCTATTGACATTACTTCTCTCATACAGGGATTAAGCAAGGGGTTACTCAGGTTGGTGTTTGACGACTGTTCGATATTGGCTTCCGGAAATTGAATTGAATACCTCGAAAGTAAGTCATCTCTTCGGCTATGTGGGCGCGGTCCAGAATTTCATAGGCCGACGCACGAACCGACGAGTGATCAACGGAATTCATAGAGTATCGATCACCATTTACCACGACTCTCGACCTATGAATGCAGTAATCGGAGCTCAATCTCCACCTACGCAGACTCATAGCTTCGACGGCCACGCTATTTTGCCCGAAAGAGAAGACTAACTTAGTTCCTAATAAATCACCCTAGTATCAGACAAACCAAGGTCACTTAGAAGCGCCAAAGTATCTGCTTAATAAGTGGCTGAATATAAATTACCGCCCCATAGTTTCGAGATTACTCAATTCTAACCAATAAACAAGTTCTCAATTACTGAAGTTCTCACAAAAGACGGACTGTTTATAGTATCACAATGGCACTTCATTGTCTAGAACAGAGGAAACATAAAACCTAAAATGCGTAACGTGTTAGAATTTTAATGGATTCTAACCAACTATGGATCTTCATTGCAAATCGCGAAATGAAATGAGAAAACCAAGAAAGCGAAAAAACTTTAACCAAACTAAAAACCCACGAACAAAAAAATATAAGAACCAACAAGCAGACTGCCTGCCTGACCAAGCAAGCGGTCATGCGATAATGTGAAGGAAAAGAGATGTGGCCATAAATAGCAGATGAATTGCAACAGTTAAATTTATGATCAACACAGTTTGTGGAAACTGTTAAAGAACGATATGAACAGAGCCAGAATTGGTTACAACGAAAAATTGCCAGCTAGAATAGGCAACAAATTAAAAGAACAAAATAAAACAGGCGATAACACATTGCCACAATAAAAATAAAAAAAATATTACAAATGTGCGCAAGAAGTCAGCGGAGCAGTGAGGTCAAGAAAAGAACAGAAGCGGCAGTCATAATAAACATTTTGAAAAATAAAAAAACTCACAGTTACATACATACAGTGGCGATCAAAAGTGGATGAATTGTGTATTGTTTTAAATATTTACAATGATTTTCAAGAAAAATTTCTTTTGTTACACATCTTTTGTTTAAATAAATTTTCATCAACATTTTTAGCTTTTTTTTACCAGAATATTTATAAAAATTTTTGGGTATGCAGTTACATGGCTTCTGATATTTAAGTAAAATAAATTCAAGTTTTTAGCGGTTAAAAAATCGCCTTGAATTTTAATTATTTTTTTTGTGAACTTCTTATGGAAGAAAATGCGCAGTAACGTTTGCGAAAAGAATGTAAAAAAATCAACGCTATTTTTTATAAATTGCACTTTTTATATGAAAAAAAAAACGGCAAAAGCTGTCGGCAAAAAAAACTATTAAAAACCTACGCGATTTTTAGCCGCTTAAAACGTGGACTTATTTTACTAAAATTTCATAAGCCTTGTAACTGCATACCCAAAAATTTTATAAAAATTCGGATTAGAAAGCTAAAAATTTTGACGAAAATTTGTTGAATTTTCTCAACTCCGTATAAAATTTAAAAGTTTAATTTATATGGTTTTGGTTAATGCATGAACCATATTTCTATAAAAAAAAAAACTAACAAAAAAATTTTAGCTTGGAAAACAGTGCAAATATTAAAAATAAAACACCATTCAACCACTTTTGACAGCCACTGTACATACATATGTATCTATGTATGTAGGAGCGTAAACTGGGCAAGGGATCAACACTGTAAACTCCAAATTACAATACACCATAACAACTTACATACTACATGTAGCAGACAAAATACAAAGCGGCGAAATGAACAGTTGCAAGCAACGATATGATCCGCCTCGTGAGCCCTGCAGCAAATCAAATGGTTACAGGGCAGAATAAGTAATAAACAGGGCCGAAGAAAATAAGCATATGAATATGCTTGCAAATATGCTCGCAAAACAACAAAAATTAATAACAGTTTTATGTTTTTTTCTTTATTCAGTTTATTTCAAGGATTGTAATATTAAAATGGGCACACAAGTATTGCTTGATATTCTCAAATAAGAGAGATCTGCGCTGGTCGTTTTAATTTTTTTTTTTTTTAATATCGTTATATGAGACAAATTATTTTTAATCTCTTCAATAACACCGATGCCTTCCCGTAGGGACGAACCGTTGGTTTTAAATTTTTGTATCCAAGCAGAAATGCAATTAAAGTTACGGGTTAATAAGAACCAAATCTGTTTTAACTATGTTATTATTTGTAAAAATTTCTTTAGTTCGACGAATAAAAAAAAAAAACCCCAAGAAATAGTTAAGAAAAATTATTTGAGCCAAATTTTTTTAAGCAGTACGAAGTTCTTAAGAAATTTGCTACGCTTTCTACTATGGTTTGCAAAAGTTTGTTTGTGAAGAGTACAAGGCACCTTTATTTACCATAGAAATGTATGGCCGTTCCATTATTTCGTAAGGAAAAAGTGAGATATGCAATAAAACACTGACTTGTTTGTAAGTTCATAACATAACTAATTAGATATTAATCAGTTATATACCAGTTATAACTAGTTATTCTCAAAGTAAACGGCATAAAACTACTCCTTTTCTTCAAGCTGTACTCTCTTTTACTGCAAGCATTGTGCAACATGTATGTATCTTCAACCAAACAGACACTTACATAAGTATGTAGTATGTTTGGCTGAGTAGATTTCCCTGGTATCTCGTTTGCTTT